GGGGGGGGGGGGGGGGGGGGGGGGGGAAGATTTATCTCCTAGTCACTTGGCTGGAGAACTCGTGTCATTTACATGAAGAAATTTTTCAGCAAATAAACAAAAAAATATTAAAACAAAACATCAGCATGTGCTCACTCTCCAGTTTTAATTACTCTAGTTGCTTGTACTGGAGATCGAGTACGAGATCGAGTACGAGAACGACTTTTCAATTCTAGTTTGCTGGCTTCACATCATCAAATCACATACCCATCTCATCCCATGAGCTCCCCTCTCTGTCTAAAACCAACATGAAGAGTGAGGGCTCTGGAAACGTCACTGATTTGAAAATCGAAAATCCTACCCGTACTCAATCTCGTACTCGTAGTCCAATCTAAAGGTCTCTATTAATTCACGTTCTTAACACTTTTACCTTATGGTCACGTCTTCAAGGTAATTTGCAGTCTCCCGCTCGTTGCCACGATCTCTAGCAATAACTTCTGGCAAAGTTAAATTGCCTTTCTAAGTAACAACACTCTTCCCACTGAAGAGGTGAAGATTATTTACTATATTTTTACCTTTGGTCAAGGTACTTGGCAGTTTTTGCATTGCCATGATGTTTGGCAACGATCTCTTACAAAGTTAAATGACTGTCCTCAAGGGAAGCTGAGTTATGTTTCCCCGACACCCTCAATGCTCCCCGAGGCGAAGCCGAGAGGAACATTGAGGGTCGAGGGGAACCGAAACTCACCCTTTTTCTGAGGAGCCAGTCATTAAGTGTTTTGTTATACCTCCCAACTTAAAAACAGAAAAAATTGCGAAAAAATGATTTGCTTGACGCCCTTGCATACGGTGGCTGCGCCCGCAGTACGAGTGACAGTCATAACCAAGCTGTCCAACCGAAACGACACGATAATAGTCTTTTCTTCGCAGCTAACAAAAAAAATGAAGACAATACTAAAGTTGCTTTGGCTTCTTCTAATGCTCATGAGGAACTGCATATTTTGTCGTAAATGACACAACTATTTTCCTACTGTACCTGGTGACAGCGATCGAGGAGAGAGTTGCCGAACGCGGGCGACCCCTATTTGGCGCGAAATTCAAAGCTTGCATGAAGACACAAAACGTTCAAATTTTCCCTTTTCTTAATCTGATTATGTTTTTTCAATTATAAATCCCTTAAATAATGAATGCCTTCTCTACTGAGAAACGTTACCCGAAAGTTAAAGTTGTTGTTTCCCTAGGGAGTTAGTGAGTTTTGTTCGCCCTATAGAGTATCACCTAAAATCGCCTAAATATCTTTCCGGAAATTCTCAAAAAATTTTGTAAATATCACAAAAACTTTTCTTAATATCCTGAAAAACCATCTAAATATCTTTTATTTTTACTTGAAAAATAAGCCGGCGAGGAGTCGGCGAGGAACATTCGGGCGCTTCGGAGTTACCAGCATCCGCCATTTTGGAAAATTGCTGCTTTGGCGCTTTTAGTGATATGGAATACGTTTTTCGAGTGGGAAATCGCTAAACTGGATTTTTTCTGGTATAGAACTGAGTATTGTTTCAAGGAAACAGCGCGGAAAACACAGGTCTCAGCCAAAAAAGCTACGAATATTTCTAATTAGTATATACCGCACAAGTAAATAGTGCTTTTCGCGCGCTCTGATTGGTTAACTCGGGGGTAATTAGCAAGTACTATTCACCTCCAAGCAGCCGGCGCGAGAGATTTTAAAATTTCCGACCGCTCGTCACACATAAAATAACGTTTTGGTTCGCTAATTATTCAGCTTTTGTGGTATATACTAAAACAATTGTTCACCTCAGTGTCGGTGAAAGTGATGGATATTTACCTCGGCGCTTTGCGGCTCGGTAAATATCCACCACTATTCACCTCCACTTCGGTGAATAATTGTTAAATATCCCTAAATTTTCTAAATATCTTAATATTTTCTGAATATCTCGGAAACTTCTAAATATCCCAGAAAATATCCGGATGTTTGTGGAAATGCCTAGTGAGTTTTGACCCAGACACGTGACACGTTTTCCTTCAATCGGAAAACGTATTTGAGTCGGGAGGTATAACAAGATTATCTGTTTACGGTTTACCTTTTGGTCACCTCTTCAAGGTAATTTGCAGTCTCTTCGTTGCCATGATCTCTGGCAATAGTTTCTGGCAATGTTAAATTGCCTTTGTAAGCATTGTGTACCACTCTTCCCGCTGAAGAGTTGAAGATTATTTCAATGAATTGCTGAGCGCCAGTTTCTGCTGCTACATATACTAACAGACCCAACATCTGAACTGGTTTGTGGCATCCTAGGAAGATAAGTAAAAGTTTATGATAAGCTTATCTTCTGAAGGCTAAACATGTCAATAAACGATAAATGGAAAAAGTCGAGGTTTGTGTTGCTGCCTTCCCAAAGTAAGGCCATTACTTGAGGTACACGATTGTTCCATGGAGACGTTGGCGGTGATTATTGTGAATTTTTTTTCTTCAAAGGGGGTGATTCTTTGGTATGCAAAATTTTTAAGTGATCCCCAAACAAAAGATGTCGTATGCATCCAAATGGGCTGTTTGAGCTGTCGAGCATGTTTGAGCCATTTTCTACGTTATATACAATGCAACAATAAACTATGTTATTAGTACAGTGTTTGACTCTGTTCGGCTAATGACTCAGATTTTGTTTACACAAATTCCTTTTCAGCTACAAAAAGGTAATAAAGGTAATATCCAAGTGGAGTTGTTATAGCTCATGTTGGGAGTTCAAGTGAGGAGTTAAAATTACCCTTTGAGAGGTCATTTCATAGAGTGATATCTAACTCTATTGAGACCGTAAAAGCAACTCTATTTAAGAGTTTAAAATGACCCTCCTAGAAGTCAACCTAACGGTTAAAGTTTTGAGTAAAAATAACCCCTGAAAGAGAGATATTTTGTACCCAAAATTTTTACTCCACTTTCAAAAGTTATAATGACTCCTGGGAAATTAGTGGGAACCGTTTTAATTATTATTATTGTGTCATGCTTACTAATCGAGGACACATGCATCAAATTGGGATTTAGAGTGCTGTTTTTTGCGGAGGGAAGAAAAGCAGAGTATACGTGAAGAAAAAAACCCTCACCGAGGGATTTCTTTCCGGAGCATAAAGGCGAGAACCAACAACAAACTCAATCCACATAAGACACTGGATCCAGGATTTAAACTTGGGCCACACTGTTACGAGGCAAGCGCTCTCCCAACCGCACCCCTAAAATCACATAATACTCGTGCAGTTGCTATTGCATTTTCAGTCTCCTCCTCCCACTATGTTTTCTTCTTGTTGAAAGAGGCGGCCAGTTAATCCTTAGCAGTGAGATTGATGGAAATGGTGTAGCGTTAAATCATCTTAGTCAGTAGCATGGTAATGCATTTTTTGTGAGTATGAAGGTCTGTTAAAAGATACGTTGACTTCTAACTCAAAATCAACTTACCAAGAGTTCTAGAACTTTCTGTTTCACCTCTACTGTTTCCAGATAAATTACCAGATTGATTACCACTCATATAGTCTTCGCAAAAGTTTTGCAGGTCACGTGTAGAAGATACCACTTGTTGTAGATTCACCTCAATATATGTAACTCGAGTCTTTCCTAAAATAATACCATCTTGTGATCTGAGTGTAACATTAACCACTGCAGGTACTGACGAAGCTGTACACACTGGAAAAGTTGAAAATTTACATGGACATGTCAATTTTAATTTACAGCATGTAAATATTGATTTACATTCTTTGTAAATTACAATTTACATGTTAYGGTTTTGTAAAATAAATTTACAGGAAATTTACAGCTTTTAGTACAGCATGTAAATGTTCTGTAAATAGTGATTTACATTGTCTTTGTCGACAATGATCATTTGAAGAACATGTAAAAACCTGTAAACTATTTTACGCACTTTTACAGTATCTGCCTTTGTAAAAAACATGTAAATTGCTTTGCTAAACCATGTAAGA